GGGTGGGGGGGGGGGGGCGGTGCAACGCAGCGGTTCACACACCTCACACGCCGCTTGAAGACCGTACCTTGAGGGCAGCGGGGGCGTTGCGCTGCAACAGCAAAGGGGCTGATTGTGCTGCACAGGCGCGCGCTCTGCCAGGGGAGGCGCCGTCGCTGGTGGCATTGGAGGGGGAACGAAGCCGCCGCGTGGCTGGCTCGCTCACCGCCGCCGCCCACTTGCTCCATGCTTGTGGTGCCGTCGGGGTGGACGGTGTCATCCACAATAAGCGTGAAGCCGCTGTGACGCGCGGCGCGTGGTGACAGCGCACATGGGTGTTAAGTCCAACCGCGCCAGCACCACAGGCAGCGCGTGCATAAAGGATTTGAGGCGGGGGAGGCAAGCGGTCAGGGGAGGGGAATTGAAGGGCCCTGTGCATGCTGCGCTTGTTCGCTTGTTCGGGCTTGTGGGCTCATGCGTGGGCCATGGGTGCCGTGGGCATGGGTGGCAATGTCACAAGGCCTTCGTGCAAGCGGTGGGAAACCCTCGTGTTCAGCGGGGCAGCAGGCGGCCAGCATGCGACGAGCGCAGGGTTGAGCGCACCAGAAGTCCAGGCCAGCAGGTTGGGCGGCCATGGCGCCCGATGCAGATTGGCCCGCGTGGGTACTGTACGGTACTTGCGAAGCGGGCGCAGCGCCAGCGGCAGCTCGACCTGCTTCCCGGGCTGGCCACGAAGGAAAATGTGCGCCTGGCTGCAGTCACAGCATAGTCGATCCTCTGTGCTCGATCCGTATCCTTTGCAGCTCTGGGCACACCAATCAGCCGGCGCTCTGATCGACCTCGAGTTGAGCAGATCACAAAAGAGGAGAGAGGAGCAATGGACAATTATGTGATCAATGAAAAGGGCGAGAAGGTGATTGGACCAAGCAGACGGCCGGATGGAACACTGAGGAAGGAGCGGCGGGTCAGGGCAGGCTACACCCCGCAGGATGAGCAGCCGGCCTACATGTCGGTGGGCGCAGCGGTGAGAAACGGATCTCATCGTGCATACAAAGCGGCGATAGCGCCTGGTGATGCAACGTTAGCGGCTGGCCGCCCCGTGCAATGCACTGCTATGGGTACTGCTTGCTGCCCAGTCGCTGCGTCAGGCGCGCTGACCGAGCGGGCTGCATGCACGGCGCACCCGCCCCGTGCTGTCACTGCATGCTTCCTCGCGTGTGAGCTGCGCCACGCCATGCTACGCCGCGCGCCTGGCCTCACACCGCAGTTCAAGGTGGGCGGACCCCGGTGCCCCGGCTACGACCCCTCTGCAGGTGGGCGGCGATGATGAGTTGCCTCGACATGCGTGTTGTGCTCCCGTTCCCATGCTTCTGTCATCGTGACCAACCAGCAGGCGGCGGGTGGCACGGCTTGACCGCAGCGTTTTTTCCCCTTGCATCCCTCCGTGTCACCACGGCGCAGACAGCGGGTCGGCATCTGCAGCAAAGTCCAAGGCGGCCAAAAAGAACGAAAAGCGCAAGGCCAAGAAGGCTGACGGGCATGACGAAGATGCAGCAGACGCGTCCGCCGCCCCGTCAACCAGCACGTCCTCCGCGGCGCCGGCGGCCAACGGTAGCGCGGCGGCGGGCGCGAGCGCCGGCGGCGGGCAGGCGGCGGCGGCGGCGGGCGAGGCGGGGGCAGCGGCGCTGAGCGGGCCGGCGGCTGTGGTGGATAAGCAAATCAAGGCCCTGAACAAAAAGGTGATTCACGGGACTCATGTTTTGTCCCGGGCAACAGGCAAGCGCACAGCAGTCGGGTGGAGAAGCTCTTACGCACCTTGGTTTGTGTCAGCTTGAGACGCCGCCGTTGACTCGCAGGCCCTGCGCAAAACCTGCCTGGGCTCCCACCCCGGCCGCCGAATTTTCACAGGTGCGGCAATGCCAGTCCCTGGCGACGCGCGAAAAGCAGGGCGGCGAGCCGCTGACCAGCCAGGAGCGGGAGAAGTTGGACAAGATGCCCGGCTGGTGGGTGCGCCGCGCCGCGCCGGGTTCGGTGCTCTCTGCGGACGCGGCGGCGCCGTGGGGGCGGCGTTGCAGGGGCGCGCGTGGTTGATTGGCGGTCACATGAGGAAGTTGCCCTGGTCGCGCGAGCCCTGCGGTGGATGTTGAACCGAGTCATAAGGGGAGCCTGGGCCCCTCCCCAAATGCTTTGACCTGACGCGTCCACCCGCCGTGACCAAACCCCCCAGGGAGAAGGAAATAAGGGACCTCCAGAGAATGATGCAGCAGCTGACGGCCGGGCAGTGACGTCACCGCGTCGCGGGGCAGGGGGGGTCGGCGGCACCAAGGCCATTGCGAGCCCCGCGCGCCTGCGCGCGAGCGACTGCTCGATGCCCGCTGGCGACGACGGTGCTTGTGGCAGCAAACCTTTTTCGCTCGCTCTGTGTGTTGCATTGCCTTGCTGTCACTGTCGTGGTGGTGTGTTTGCATTGAGCTCGTTGCACAGCAGTAATGTGGATCTCGTCTCCCAAAAGCGTCTCGTTATTTTCCGGCTTTCCTTGCGCCCCCGGGGCTCGCAACCAGTGGCGCTTCCTTTGGTCCTGCGCGCACGTTCAAATCCTCGCTAGTAACACGACCCTGCGCGGCACACCCTAGATTTGTCACCAGCGCCAGGGGCACTGGGGCGGCCGAGACCCCTTCCGAGGGCTTCAGACCCACCATGCCCACCCCAGCACACTGCAAACCCTGTGGCGCCCCAGAGCAGCGTGCCGGCGCTCGCCGGGCGCCCCACTGCCCCACACCCCGACCGCCCTGCGCGGGCTGCCGCATCCCTAGCCCGCTCCGCAGACCGCACGCTGACAGTGGGCAACCCTCCGTCGCCGATCGCGCCGGCTGCCTTTACTCATGGCCGCCTCCCACTCTCAAGTCATTGCTGGCGAGCGACGTCATCAGCACGTGGGCGTGACGCCACGTACACTCAAGCGCGGGCGGCGCTTGGAAGCCGGGAGCGCAGGAGCTCGCGGCTGTCCGATGCAAAGGGCGGGCCCGCAAAATTCTGGGCCGCGCTGGCGCCCGCAACCGCCGTGGGGCGGCGCGGGGCCGACAGGAATCAGCGGGATGGGATGAGGCCCGAGCCCGGGAAAGGGTCGAGGGGGTGGGGTGATCTGGCACTGCGCCTGCGTACGCGACTGCTTCAAAGGGGCGCGCCATGCGGCGCGCGCACATGCTCATTGTATGGTGCGGCCTAACCGCCCTTGGGCGGGGCGGTTTGTGGAGCTCGGGCGCAGGCGGGGTGGGGCATGCCGGCCGGTGCGCTATTTGAGCCTGCCCTGCGCAATGCGGGGGTGGCGACGCCTGGACCTGCGGCCCTGAAGGCCGCCGCGCGCGACAACACACACAGAGGTACGGCGGAGGGGGGGGGGCGCACAATGCGGGCGGAACGAAATGCGTGCAGAAAGCGAAAAACAGGGTGCGCGTTTGGAGGCAGGCACGCCGGTGGGCGCCCGGGCGCCAAGCGGGTCTGCCAGAAGCAGAGTACTAGAGCGAGGTGGCGCGCCAGGCCGCCGCCCCCTGCCGGCGCGCGCCTGGCAATTTGGAAGGGCGAGCGCGGCGGGCGGGCGGGGCGCGGCCAAGGGCGGGGGGCGCGCACTGCTGCGGCCGTGCCTGAGCTGCGCTGCGCGCGCCACTTGAGATACCAACCTCGGATGCCAGCCCCTTGCGAAAACCCCAGGGGCAGCATGGGCGGAGGGATGCCTTGCCCGCAGGGCCCTGGCTGGGGAAAGGAGGGGGACGTCCTCGCAGCGCAACCCAATCGAACCACAGGCAGGCCGGCGGCCGCGCGCCCACGGGTCACCCCAGGCGCAGCTGCCAGAGCCCCCCTGGCGCATGCCTGCTATCTAATGCGAAAAGGAGCCGAGCATCAGCATTACGCCACCAGCCTAGCCACGGTGCGGCGCACAGCTGCAGTTGCGCTGATCGCCGCGCACCGCGCGCCCGCGCTCCGCACACTTCGGCCTGCGCCGAGCCGCTCTAGGCGGGCGCGCTGGGCCAGTCCACGGGGCGGTCCCACTGGGTGACGTTGCTGTTATGGTTGTGGTAGTAGGTCTCTCCAGTGTCCTGCGTCTTATACGCCACCCAGCCGTTGGGGCCCTGCACGGGGAAGCCCGAGCGCGCGTACGTGTCCTCGCCAGCGGGCGGGCCGCCGCCGTAGGGGCGCCCCGCGTCGCGGGGGCCGGCGTAGCCGGGGCCGCCACCCTGCATCTGCTGCTGGGGGGGCCCGCCGTACCCGCCGCCGGGGGGGCCGCCGTAGCCGCCGCCGCCCTGGGGGTAGCCGCCGCCGCCGTAGCCCGGCTCGCCGTAGCCACCGCCGCCGCCGTAGCCGTCGTCCCAGCCCTGGGGATGGCAATCAGCATGGATGACGGGCGTGACTGACGATGACAGCGGCAACATGAAGACACCCGCCCCGCTGACACAGCCAATCGCTCCGCGTCACTGGCATGGCCTGCCACTGCGGCTGCAGCTGTCATTGTTCATAAAAAAGCCGTGGCCTGGCGGGCGCGCTCGACTCTCAGAGGTCAGGGTTGTGGGAGCCGCCGGGAACGGCGCCCGATGCCGCATACCCAGTCCGCCGCATGGCAGGGCGCCCACCCCCATGCGGCGCCGCATCGCGCGCCGCACTGCCCCCACACCCATGCACCCCGACTCACCCCTCCCCGGCCGCCCATGCCCATGCCGCGACCGCCGTAGCCGCCGCCGTACCCGCCGCGGGGTGGCCCATAGCCAGGGCCACCACCACGGCCGGGGCCCCCGGGGCCGTAGCCCATGTCCCCACGCGGCGGCAGGGTCCTCAGCTCGTGCTCTCCATGAGCAAAGTTGCACCGATCGCCGAAGCGGCAGTCACCGTTGGCCCACCTGCAATTCCCCGGCGTTGGTTGCACAGATCGCCCGTGGGTGCGAAGCGATGCTCGTCCCCGAGGCCCGCCCGCTGAGCGCAAAGCAATCCAATCTTGTTACAAAGACAAAAGAGACAGCCACCAGCCCGTTATAGGGCGCACCTTTGGCAGAGCTTAGTCTTGGCGTTTTCGGCTGTGCCCCTGAAGCCACGGCGTGCGGCAGCAGCAGCGTCCTGGCCTCCATCGGCGAAGGCCTGCCCACGCTGGGAGGGGAAGGCTCCGTCCATGATGATGATCTGAAGCGTGCAACACACGTCCTGGCTCGCAGGCCTGGGATGCTAGGGCCCGCCTATAGACCAATCGACAGCTTTCAGCTGATCCAGCACGCCCTCGGAGGGCGTGGGGCTTGGGTTGAGTGCGTCGCGAAGGGACCAGCCTGCTAAAGGCTAAGTGATGCCTCTAGACTAAGGCTAACGAAACTATATCGTCCGCCCACAATTCCATCGGGGCGCCTGCTTTAGGCCTTTGCGAAGGTGGGACCTCGCCGCGGTATGTGATGCAGGCAGCTGCGTGTGTGGCAAGTGCTCCACCAAAAAGAAGCCAACCATGCGACCGATCCGGTATCTACACAAGAAGGGGCCCACGGCCCTCCCGTCGTTGGGGAACGTGACTGGGATGTTGTCTACCAGCAGGCAGTACTTCACCCACCTCGCTGCTCATTGCTCCATGTAAAGTGCACAAGCCAGCTGTGCTGACATGCGCCACTTTACAGTGCTGAACGCAACATACACAGTTGCTGGGGTGAACGTGTGGTCCAAGTGCAGGACCCAGGTCTCACAGATGGTCATGTCCATGAACAAGTGGCAGATGGTGTGTATGTGAGTCTACCCAGTCCAGGGGGCCTTGATGCACCTTGAGGTACACGCATTTGCAGACGACGCGCAGCGGCGCAATGAGGGCGCGCTCGACGTCATTGAGCGGTGGCATGGGGAAGCTAGGTAGGCCACAGTCAAACCGGACGAGGGACTCCAACGGGATACGCCCAGCCTTGAGTGCGCGCAAGCACGTGGCACAGGTGTCAACGTATCGTGGCCGTTCAGGCGTTATTGGTGCAGGGAAGGTTGCGTCGCGCAATAGATGCCGCGCCTCAGCTGCAACTGTAAGTGTGGCGCGGGGAGAAGAAATTGAGAGGCGGGGAAGACATCAGATTTGAGTGGGTGGCCCGCAGAGAACAGATAAAATTGGGGGGTGAAGGCGCTGAGAACAATAGGATTTAGGGTTTACATGTCAAGATGATTTGCATGGAATAAATTACCCCTAAAAGCTTGGTTGTTTACAGAAGCAAGACTGCATTCAATGCACCACGAGGGGCAGTAGCTGCAGTGCTAGTGTGACCGCCCACCTGCTTGGCCCGAAAAAGTGACCATCCCTTCCCCGCGTGGATTGTGGGCAGGAAAAATGGCAGCACTGCTGGCGCCGATGCCACCTGCGAGCAAAGCAGGGGAGCAGATCAAGATTAAGAGTGTCACAACATCCATCGTCGCCCGCTTCTGGAGCCATGCAATTCAAAGCGTTAACATTGTGCAACCCGGACTCAAAGGTCAGGCAGCAAGCTAAGCTGTCAGCAACGCTGTTGTAACCACCCACCTGCTTGGGCCGAAGGACTGGCCATCTCCTCCTCGCAGGCAGAGGGGTGACAAGCAGCGCTGCCAGCGATGCCACCTGCAAGCAAGGAGCAAGGGCACGAGTCATGATTTCCCTCCATCGTAGGTTGAAGCAAGTACAGTCCATGCACAACACAGCGCATGGACGTGACGGAAGCATCAGTAAATGTGGGCATTCAAGGCAAGCCCATGAAGTGATGGCAGCACAATTGGGTGCGGCTTGTGGACATCATCACAGCAAAAGTTTTGCATCTAGTCAAGAGCACTTTCCCTCGAGGAGCCTTCCCGGTGCTAGACGCTTTGAAGCTCAAAACCATATCCCCGCAAACTCACCCTCAGCAACGACCACGCCCCCTGTGGGTGGTGGCGGCACCCCGCCTGAAGCAGCATCATGCTGTTGGCCGCAAAGGTTGCATGTGAAGGCCTCGTGATAGTCAGGAAGGATGGGGCGCGGCTCGACTGCGCTCACGTGAACATGGGTGGGATGTGGGGATGGAAGACTGAGACACCATGGGGACAGAGTACCATTTAACTGAAATACAACGATTCACGACCAATCAGCCAAGAGCGCTTGCAAGCACCTCCAAACCACCCCCATTTGCATTGCAACTCACAATGGATCCCCTCCATCCCCATTTGCATTGCAACTCACAATGGATCCCCTCCATTGAGAGGCAGTAGCGACGGCCCTCAAACCAAACCGCGGTGTGGCCAGAGCGCGGCAGGCAAGGCGTTGGTGGCAGGTCGGCGTCCAACAGCTCCAAGTGCGGAAGCGCAGCCAATAGATGGCGCGTACACTTGCTGAACGGCAGTTGCTGATCGCACACGGCACAAACACGAAGCGGTGCGTGCGCCCACTGCTGGCGCCGCAGCTGAAATGAGATGCACGAGATGCAGCTGTTAGGCGCCTCGAACGGCGCTTCTGTTGCCTCTGGATCTAGCCCGAAGTCTGCGCGCACACGAGCCAGGCAGTGCTGCAGCATAGCTTCAGCTGTTGGTGGCGCTGCAGCCTCAGGTGGGTGATCTGAGGTATCTCCACCAGTTGCCAGCGCTGCAACTGCCTCACTCATGACAACATCTGACTGAGCCAAACTGGCACGGCCAGATGCGCGCTGTGCACGCAAGCGCGCACGCACAGCAACCATCTGTGCTGCTTGTGTCTCCAACCGCGCCTGGCGCTCCTCCCGCATCTCTAAGGCTGCATGGCTCTTGCGTCGCCGCCGCTTGCTGGCAGCGCCTGCAGCCAGCCGCACCTCCATCTCCTCCTGGGTTGCGTTGCTTGCGGCGACTGCGCGTTGCTGCCGCTTGTCTGCAGCTGCTGCACCAAGTCGTGCCTCCCTCTCTTCCTGCGCCTCTTCTGCGGCACATCTGGCACGGCGCTGCTGCTCGCTGCCAGCGGCTGCGGCCAACCGCGCCTCCTCCTCCTGTGTTTCTTGTCCTGCCCGAAGCACGCGGCGCAGCCGCTTGGACTCAGCGGCCGCCGCCCGCCTATCTCTCTGCCCTTCTGTGGTGTCGGCTTGTTCGCGAGCTGCACGACGTTTGACGCGCATATCCTCTTGCCAAGTGTCAGGCCTGAGCAGCTGTAGCAATGGAGTGTCGCTGCCTGTTACACGCGGGGCCTGCTGCGCAGGCGGCTGATCTTGTGATGGCTGAGATGGTATATGTAGTGTTGGCTGCTGCACAGAGCCACGATGGGCCGCTGATAGCCGTGCCACCAGCAACTGCGCCTTGGCTGCCGTTGCGGCGTCATCTGCGGACAACTGCGCCAAGGGGCCCGCCGCGGCGGCTGACTCACCCGGTGCTGCAGGTGCATTCTGCACCAGGTCGGCTGCCGCAGCTGCCTCCATCATTATTCTACCCCTGCAAACCCTGCCAACACGCCGATGTGACTGCTGAAGTTGCAACTGTCCATGTCCTTTGGATGTTCAGCTGGCCGTCTCGATGAGCGACTGCGACTGGTAAGCTGGAAAGCTGGTGCGAAAAGCTTGTATGACGGTAGATAGATGGCTTCATGGAGACCTGCCCCTTGCGTCTTTCGAATAACTCGTATCCCGAGGGACACTTTCTCAAGCGCGAAGGTTTAGGGTCTGAGGCTATCCTTGCAGCCGTGGCCTTCCGAAGCCGCAGTAAAATCTCGTTGTGCTGGAAACTCGCTTTGAATTGCTGAAAAATCATACGAGGCCGAGGAAGCTGCAATACGACAAACGCACCCATCCCAAATCACCGGTGGAGACGACTTTCAGCCCTCGGGGCCTCCCGAGCCCCCTACCAAGTCCCACACGGCTTCATAAGTCACGCCATACCATAAAAGCAGCTTGCATGCCTTGTCAAAGCCTCACGACGACAGATACACGGCAAATCGCTGGGCAGCTTCCCAAAGGAAGCTGGGAGGAAGTGGACACACAGACGGACTCACGCTACTGCACGCAGAACGACATCCCTCCGTTGGGCGCTCCGCTCCCCAACTCCGGGAATCAGCATTAAGCGTTTCGTCATCTCTTGGTCTGTGGACGTGCCTTGCCTGCTACGCTAGGGTCCGGCCGAGCAGTCAACTGTGAGCACCGCAGCCACCCGAGGGCCTTCAAGTGGTGCAGTAGCTCGTGAATGTCCTGAACACATCTTGAAATCCGGGATCCGCCGCCGCTGCGGAGGGCGGCTCGCAACCGGCAACCCAACACAAGGAGCAGGAGCAGCGGCAGCAGCAGCATCTATCCTAGCGAGCGTCCAGGGCCGAGGGGCCCACGTGCGCCCCGCCGCAGCCATGGACGAGATAACTCGGTCCCTGAAGTCGTTCAGTGAGGCGATCGACGGCACCTTTTCAACCCTCGCCACCAAGGCGACGACAGGCATCGCCACCGGCCTCAAGGCCGCCGTCCCGCTCCCTCGCCCGCCCGCCGCCCGCCAACCGCTCAACGGCGGCGCCGCCGCCGCGCGGCCGGCGCCGCAGATCACGGACGAGGAGCGGGAGGCCGCGCAGAAGCGGTCCGACGCCGCGCTCGCGGCGCTCGACCAGGGGTACTTCTCGCAGTCCTTTGACCCGTTGGCCCACGAACTCGCGGCGCTAGCGGAGGACGCCAAACAAGATGACGTGGACGCCGTCGTGGAGCGACTAACGGCCGCCGTGGACGTGAGTGGGCAGGGGCATGGGGTGGCGGCGCCGCTGGCATGCCGCCGAGCGCACCGGGCGCGCGCGCATGCGGTCTGGTCGTGCTGTTTTGCACTGGCTCGCACCTGCCATGCGCACTGCCTGCGGGCCCGGCATGCTGCGAGGCGGCTGATGCCGACTTCATGAAATGCCATGCGCATGGCCCGATGTCAGCAGCCTGCCCCCGACCCCCGCGGGGCCGGCCCGCCCTTTTGTGTCATGATGTGTTGTGGGCAGGTGGTGAGTGCCAAGCTGAAGCGCCACGTGCTGAAGCACCAGGACAAGCTCATCCAGGGCGTCACCAACGTCACCAGCGTCGACGGCGACGTAAAGGTGGGCGCCCGGTGACGCGCCCCGTGACGCGCCCGGTGACGTGCGCGCGAGCGCAGTCGGACTTCTCCTTGTGCCCGCGCCCGCAGTGTGCAGGCAGTCCGGTTGCCGCGGGGCGGCCCGCGGCCGCCGCCGATGCGGGGCGCCGCGCGCGCCCTCCATGCAGGCGGCGTTCGTGATGGTCCAGGCGTCGCGGCAGCAGCTGCGCATGGCGGCGGAGGAGGTGGCGGCGCAGATGCAGGTGGTGGGCGCGACGCGTAAGAAGCAGCGGCTGATGGGGGCGCTGGAGCTGGCCAGCAGGGTGAAGCAGGCTCGAGACCTCCACCACTCGCTTAAGTGCGCGGCCGTTTGACCATTGTTTGACCGGGCCGGCGTTAGGATCGAGCGAGAAGGCCGCCGACCGGGGGAAACGCATGCGGATCTGTCGTGGATGTTGTAGCTGCAATAAAGAAAGGCAGCGTGGGTGGAACCAGGCGTCAAGTGTTCTTCCCCATGTCTGCCATAGCACACACGACATGGCATCGCACGCAAGCATGCACCCAACCACGCACTCTCACACAACGACGCACCGACCCACCCGTGCATGCACCCATGCACCCCTCATGCACTCCGCGCACCCCCATGCACCGCCATGCAGCCCATGCGCCCTGTGCACCCCACACACTTCATGCATCCCTATCCTTCAGGAGCTACCAAGAATCCGGCGAGTTTGGCGAGGCGATCCTGCAGTGCGCGGAGTGCCACCAGCAGCTGGACGCGGGCGGCCCCCTGGCGCAGCTGCGCGCCGCCCCCGAGCTGCGGGCGCTCGTGCAGCGCCACTACTACGACACCCTCGCGCGCCTGGACGCGGCGCTGCAGCGGTGCTGCGCGGAGTTCAGCGCTGAGGGGTACAGCAAGGTGCGTGGAGGGGGGGTCGTGTTCCCGCCCGCCGCGCCGCGCCGCGCCGCCGCCGCTCGCGGGCGGCGTTGGTGGGACGGTGTATACGCCCTCGCTCGCCAGGGGTGGGCGCGACGAGTGTGGGTGGCGGATGACGGATTGGTGTTGATGCGTGGCTTTGAAACCTTGGGTTTCACGTGGCAAAGGGATTCGCCTGCTGCTCCAACCAGTCGGCGAGCCTGTTTGGGCACTGGCTGAGCCCGGGACCCCGCGTGCATGCCACCTCGGCCTCCTGCAGATGCTAGAGGGCTACCTGCTGCAGGGCATCGCGCCCGCGGCGCTTGCGGGCAAGGTGCTCACCGCCTTCAAGGAGACCGTCCACGACGCTGCAGTGCGCGTGGTGAGCCGGGGCTGCCGTCACGTCCGCGCATGCCGCATCGCTACAGGCGCTGTCTGACGGCATGTTGGCGATTTGTGGCGTCTCACGCACCTGTTTGCATACAGCCTGCGGCTCTCATGACGCCTCGACGCACTCCCTGCCGCAGGTCAGAGGGACGGTCCTGGCCTCAAAGGCCGCCGCGGCCGACGCGGCCGCCGCCCGCGCAGCGCAGCTGCTTGACGGCTCCGCGTCCTTCCCGCAGCTCTGCAGGCAGCTGCCCGCGGCCGCGGTGCGGCCGTGCCTGCAGCAGCTGTCGGAGCTGCTGTTTGAAATCGTGGCCAGCTACCAGCTGATGGCTGAGTTCCATGAGGCCAACCAGCAGGCGCAGGCGCAGCAAAAGCAGCAGCATGGGGAGCAGCAGCAGCAGCAGCAGCAAGGCGGCGGCGCGGACGGCGGCCAGATGGAGGCGGTGCAGGCGGCGACGCGCGGGCTGCTGCAGGCGGTCGCGGGGGCGCTGAGGGCGGGGCGCGCTGAGGTGGCGGACGCGGCGGCTGTGAAGCTGAGGGAGCTGCTGCTGGTGCCGGAGATGGCGAGGGGGGATGAGGTCATGCAGGTGTGAGCAAGCGGTCTGTGTGCGTGCACTTGACATGCAAGTGATGAGTGTGTGTGTGTGTGTGCACGTGTGCGTGTGTGTGTGGTGTGTGTGTGTGTGCGAGCGCGCGTGTGTTTTGAGAGTGATTTGAGTGCGTCAGGGGCTGAGGGAGGCCTGCAATGCTTGGTTGTGTGTGGCAGCTAAGAATGCAGTTATCAAATAATTTGCAATTGTGAAAAGCCCCAGTTAAACGTGTCAATGGATGATTCGCGCCGTGCGGCGCAGGTTGTCGGCTGGAGCGAAGCGCTGGCGGCCGTCGGCGACGCCTTTGTGGGGGGCCCCAGCGGCCTGCGCACCGCGCTGACTGGCTGCTACGGCGCGCTGCTGGAGGGGTGAGGGCTTGGGGGCGTGAACCACTCTCAATGCATGTGTTTGATGGCAGCCTCGCCCTGGCTCTGTGTTTCAGCACAATTGTGAGGTCACCTCCCACCACTGAATGCCATACTGTACATTAACTCTCCTCATCCTCGCTCGGTTCACAGCTACCACCGCTCCAACATGGAGAGCCTGCGCCACCTGCTGGCGGCGGAGCAGTGGGGTGCCCTCCCCGGCGGCGGCGGCGGCGGCGGCATCGAGCGCGCCGTGCGCGCGGGCCCGATCGCGGCGGCGGCGGCGGAGTGGGCGGGACGGGACCTGCAGGGGTGGCTGGAGAGCGGCAACCCGTTTGCTGGTGGGCTACTTTCAGCGCCCGCTTTCCTGACAATTGGCTAGTCCTGCCGCCTCTCATACCAGGAGCTGGTCCCTCTTGGCCTATGGGGGATATGCGCACCGGGGGCCTGGTGGCGCAACACGGGCATGTTGCGGGGCAGAACGCCAGCTGGCTGGCAGTTGATGGCACGGCAAAGCGCCACCCCTGATTAGGGACTTGGCGTCCCGGATACAAAAGCCACTGCCTGAAATCGCCTTCAACCGCACCATCGCGCCGGCCCCAGGCATTCAGTCCAGCGCCGACTTCGCAGCAGCCGGCGACGTCGCGCCCGGCGGCGCCGGCGCCGTGGCGGGGGCGCGCACATCGACCGCGTCGTCGCGGCGCGTGCTGGCTTGGCTGCGCAACTACGCAGCGCTGCTTGCGCCGCTGCCGGCGCAGCGTGCCCAGGTGCGGATGCGAGGAGGAAGGGTTGCCGCAGCCCTGGAGTTGAGGTGCCGTTGGTGTTGCTGTCGGGTGCCTCAAGGCAAAGCTCAAACATCGGTATTGTTACCATCATGATTCATATCAACCATCCACAGTAGTCGATCCCAGGCCCGCCTAAACCTCGAGCCCCCCATGTTACGCCGCGTCGTGAACACACGTCCCTCTTCCCGACATTGCGCCTCCCCCCCTTGTTTGACCACCTCCGCATCGCCCCGTCCCTCCCGTCTCTGACACCAGGCGTGGCGCCACATCAGCGAGCTGTTTGACAACTACCTGCTGGCCTGCTTCGTGCTGTTCAGCGGGGTCACCCTGGAGACGCTGGCCTGGCAGGTGAGGCCACGGCGATGATGATGTCATGATGACACCCACGCACTACATATGATTCGCCGTCGTCCAGGCGATCGAACCATGGCTGCGGCTCGCTGTAGAGGGCGCTGCACCCCCCCAACGCCGCGCCGGGGGGCCGTTGGGGCGCTGGCAGCGGGCGAGGGCGTGGTCTGGGGTTTTCCTGGCCCCTCTGCTGGCGTTGAGGGCCGGGTATCGGGTCTGTAGACTTGAACAGGCCGTGCGAAAGGAGGCGTACTCGCGTGCGCACTTGCGCGTGCGCGCGCGCGCACACACACACACACACACACACACACACACACACACACACACACACACACACACACACACACACACACACGCCCCCGCGCGCGCACATGCACACACACATGCATACACACAAACATATGCATACACACACATGCACACACTCGAATGCGCACGCAAACACAAACACACACACGCACGCGCGTGCAAGCACATGGCTGCACTTGCACGCACGCCTGCACGCACGCCACCTCACGGCTCCCGCGTGCGCCCGCCCCTCACTCCCTGATCCATCACCCCCCCCCCCCCC